AGTACAAATACAGGAATACGTTTTAGGGAGGCAGAAATACAAATACAGAAATACTGATACTGCAATACATTTTTCAAATTTGTTCGAGATGTCAACTGAGATGAAGCTTGAAGTTTGAAGTGGAAGTTTTTGATCCCGAAATTACTTTCCCGTAGGCTTGGCACTTTGCCTTGAAGGTAGTGGTTTCCCACGACGAGAAGTCTTCGATGGGCACAGAAAAACGTTCCATCGAGGACTGACCGCGGTTTCTTCCCTGACATCCTGTCTGTCTGACAAGGGATGCGAAAAGGCTTCGACCTCTAAATAAATTCTATGTCACCCTAAACCCATCAAAACGTCATCACGCCCCTGCCAACATTGATCACATGACGTCACGGTGTAATGAACTGGTATTCTTTATCTTTAGGTATGGCCTTGAACATGAAACTTTATCACGCTGCTGTATATGAAAGGACAAAACATACTTTCGTTGCAAGTTACCTCGTTGAAGACCGTGCAGGCAGTGCCATTTGATATTTTTGAGAATAGTGGACCACCTGAAGCATTCTAGAACATACGTCTTGTCTTCTGTTAGGGTTGAAAAAAAACCATACGATGGCATCCCCATTTTGAAGGTCCTCCTGCCGACCCTCCGCCACCGACGCATGAATTGCAGTCCTCAAGTTTCGCCTAGCATCATCCAAACAGAGACTTGGTGGATTGGGACCTGATATTGCCGGTACAGGTGCGAGCTCTCCGAGAAACAGCGCGCTTAAGACCGAGTCGCAGGTGTACGAAGTCCGGGTCGGAACAGCGAGGCCACGACTGGTCTCCTTCTTGGGTTTCGGATCACCAGAGCAGCGGGTCATGTTCACGTCGACTTATGACGACCCTTGAGCCGTGCAATATTACGGGCGCAGCCGGAGATGCATTCGCATAAGTGTTGAACTTCACTGCGTGAGTCATCCTGCTATTTTAAGTTGACAACCGCCAGGCTCGTGCTGCAACGGACTGTGACTCAGCATTGCCGGCTGGGTGTACTGTGTACGCTGAGGCAGAGAGACGGTTAGCAGCGGGCGTTGTATGCCAGCAAACAATGACTCAAGAAACCCCTACCTAAAAACCTGTGGCAGAAGATGCCCTGACTCCACTCCTGGCACGCCACCTGGTTCGAGTCCCCCACTACGCCACACTTCTCAGAAGAGAGAAGAGCACGCATAAAAAGTAGTTTGGAGAATTGGAAGGAACCTTGGTCAGCATAGTCACAATGCCCCAGTAGCTCCTTGACCCTCGCGCCCTCAGAACTAGAAAAAAAAAAAAAAAAAACGTTCGGAATTTTTTTTTTGAAGAGGGGGGGGGGGGGGGGGGGCGGGGGCTATTTCACAAGAAATGTAACGAAATACATTTCATCTTGATTGTATCGCGATACAAAGAAACATCTAAAATGTATTTTGTTACAGGATTACAGATACTGGTGAAAAAATGTATCGCGATACAGAAATACAGATACGAAATGTATTTCTAAAATACTATCGCGATAGATTTGTATCGCGATACTGCCCAACCCTGGTTGAAGCCATACCATCCCAAGGTTACCCGGAACATTAACTTGTGACGCACTAATATGATTGCGGATAGTGATTAGGACACCGCCACCTCTCTTTCTTAGTCTGTCGCCATCTGTGTAAGGTATAATTCATATTGGGGGAACACTTCTGAGTTAGTAATTTTGGCTTCTAGCCACGTTTCTGTCAGAATAACCAGGTCGGCAGTGCACGATTCAATTAGTGATAATAGGTCGTTGCGGTTTGTTAAAACACTTTTTATATTTGTAAAAACGACCGAACATGACTTGGTGTTTCTGTGTACTCGGCAAGACTGGGGTGGGCGGCGTGTACACAGCTCTATGGCTTTTTCTCTTCGTGCATACTGTTTTTTGCAGAGTCGAAGAAAAAATGTTTTGTTATCAATGATTAAACTGTTCGAGCGCATCTTGCACTGCTTTCCTTCTTGCTTCGAAAAACTCAATCCGTTTTCCCCGTTCCTCGCGTCCTGCTGGTGAAAAGTACTCGCTGACGGCAAAACCCATACTTTTTAGTTTGTAACACGCGCTCAAGATTTTATCATTATGCTTGGTAGACTAAAGCTTGACAATGATTGGGCGTGTTTTATTATCGTTGAAACGACCTAGCCTGTGCGCTCTTTCCACGAAACTAGATTGTAGCGAAAAACTCAGGTTGCGAGAGCACATATCAAGAACCAGTTTTTTTTTATTGGGTCCATGTTTCATTTAGTTTGTCGTCATGGCCATAAAACACAAGATTGGTACATCGCATTCTATTCTCCCAGTCTTCACACCGTGATTCCAAAGTATGAATTTGCTCTGTTATTTTTGTGCTTTCTGCATCTTTGCGTATATCGTCCAAGCAAGACACCCTTGCTTCCATATTCGCTACTCTGTTAGTCAGGGCACTCACGGATAACTTAGTAAGAAACTGATCTTCTCTCAGTTTTTTAGTTCGCTCAAAACGTTATTTTGCCCTTCTTCCGTACAATCGCCAGGACAGATTCTAATTGCGCTTCCTGAGCCTCAATCATTCCGGGGTTAGTCTCTACATCACCGAATAATAAGAGAAGTAGTTCGTTACAACGGCCACCGGCATAAGTAATGCTATCAATGAAAAACAGATACCAACGGATGCTTTAGTGAAAAAGGTATATAAGACTGATAAACCCCTGCACTCATCGAATGTTGAAAGAAAGAGCCTCGGACGTACTGGCGCTATGGTAAAAACCATATACGCGACAATGCACAAAATGTGTGCTTACGATCGAGAATCAACTGGCTTTCTTTCCTTAGCAATTGGCATAGCAAATCGCTTTTCTGATTACTTTAGTTGCTGACATTCTAGTTCGAGAACTGCTGGTAGAACAGAGAGCTTTAAGGAAAGCACACACTATTTATAGGCTTTTACTGTCGACGTCACAGCAATAAGAAAATTAAAACCTAAGTTCTCTGCGGGAATTCTTGGTGTACAAAATTTCATTAAGGCGTGTTCTGATATATTTGCTCACCTTTTGAAACATATAACCTATCACTAGTGAAGGATGTATTCCCTGGTTTGTGGGAGTCTTCTATAGTTCCTATGTTCAAGGCTGGTGATCCGTCACAAGTAAATAACTATCGTCCCTTTTCGTTATTATGTGGTTTCGCAATTTTTTTTTTCAAAATAGTTATGTATAACCGGGCCTCCAGTTACGTCAGCCAAAGAATTCGTCCTGTTCAGCATGGTTTTTTAAAGGGAAAGTCCGTAGAAACGAATCTCTGCTCTTTGCTCAATCTCTTTGTACCGACAGTTACAAGCAGAGGCCAACTTGATTTTGTATACTTTGACATGTCGAAGGCCTTTGACCGTGTGGATCATTCTTTAACCCTTTGCAAAATTTCTTTTTATAGCCTGTGCCCTAAGCTGTATGAATGGTTCAGGAGCTACTTGAGTTTACGTAGTAACACTCTTCATGTTGGCAACTCATTTTCAAAGAGTTTTATATCGACTTCTGGTGTATCTAAAAGGTCAAACCTGAAACCATTGTTGCTTATTTTGCTTGTAAATGACACAGTACGACGCGTCAAGCATTCGAATGCCCTTCGCTTCGCTGATGACGTCAAGCTTTTTTTTTTTTTTAAATATCTGAAACTCTGTTGATAATACTTTATTACAAAATATATTGGTTGCGATTTCCGAGTGGTGTGCAAAAACGCTTTATCGTTGAATCCAGAAAAAAACTAAATTGATTTCTTCATGAAAAAACACGGAACTTTTTTTTTGTTTTGTTTTTGTTCCCTTGGGTGTGCTTAAGGGCAATGCGATAGTTCGTGTATCTCTTGTAAGAGACCTTGGCGTCTACATTCATCGCACTCTTTCATTTACTGCGCATGTATCTAAGATCGTTGTTTCAGGGATAAGAAAGTTGGGTATGATCACCCGGTTATTATGTTCTTTCACCTCACTATCATCTGTGGTGCGTCTGTACTGCAGCCTCGTACGCTCAGGACTTGAATTTAGCTCAACTTGTTGGAATTCACAATCGTTAACCCAAGTTGAAATTACCGTATTTACTCGGGTAGTAGCCGCACTATTTATGAACAAAGCCTTTGCGTCTACTTTCTTACAGAACACATATACATCCAATCATTGTGTTGCGCATAAATAACATAGCGAAAAACCAGATCGAGAACACGATTCTTCATACAAATGCAATCTTCACAGATGGTACCTTTGCACGAAAACGTTATCTCTGTCCTGTAAACAGCTAGAATCATGCTGTCGATCGCAGTGATTGGAAATCTGCGTGCTCCGCGAAAAAGCGAACCCTCAGGTTTTCATCATAAACAGTGCGGCTATTACTCCAGTAAAGACGGTACTTGTAAGTGTAGGCATTCATGTGCCAACTAGAGCTAGTCACCATTTGTTAACATTTTACCCCAATAAAATTTGTTAATTGTCACCGACAACTCGTATGCAGTCTGCTTTTAATAACCCAGGCAATTGTGAATTTGATATATTACATGATTTTGTTCATTTGAACCAGCCTTGCAAAAGGTGTATTTCATCACACTTAAACTTTGAGTAGGAGTTCCATTTGCCTCTCAAATATGTATTCATGTCCTTTCCCATGTTTTTGAACATTGTAAATAGTGTTGCTGTAAACACGACCAAACAGTGCATCACACAAAAAGCCTTCATAGCTGTTTGTGGGCACTAAGAAAAAATAAAGCATTAATGTAATATTCATATTACTATAGTTGTCCGTTCGCTGTCACCGGCAAAAACCAATCACGCACACTAACTGTGGCGTGACCCCGCGCTTTCGAGCACCGTGACGTTCTACTTCTAGAGCTGCCCGATTGGCTACGTTGGATCGTAGCGTTGTCTGCTGTCAGACCCAGTGTGAAAACGGGTCTCAGCCTAAATCGAGGCTGAGTATGCAAATGAGGCCAACTTATCTTTCAGGAACAGGTTCAAAACGAGCGTACGACTGCTACTTCAGAGAACGTTAACCAAGGCTTACGTTCAAGAACCCTCTTGGTGAACGATAGCTGGCCGACGAGAGGTCAAATAGAATTTCAAGAGTACTCGGCGTCCTACAGGCCAGGAGACTTACCGGATGTGTTGAAGGGTGTGACATTCTCTGTTCAGTCTTACGAAAAGGTGGGTTTGTGCCGGAGTTTCCAGCGTGATATCAACTCTAACGGTTCTTACCACTAAATTTATAGAATAACGGGAAATAATGATAGTGGGAGCATCAATAAATATAAACACGACGTTGTGGTTTGGATGTACATTTTTCCAAGGACTGTCGCTGGCTGGGGTCTGCTAGAACTCCGATCTAGAAACGTTCTGTGTCAATATAACAAAATTTCGTATATAACAAATTTTGCTTAAATCGCTTTTTTTTTATTCGGTAGTTGTAGCTATTTACCTTTAATTCAATTTGCCGCAGTTGATTTTTTTTTTTTTTTTGCTGTGTGTGGTTTTGTTGATTCCGAGTGAAATTATGGATTAAACTCAATCATAAATAAAAGCTTGAGGAAGGCATTCAATTTTTATTTTCAGAGTTCGAAGATTCCTTTTATTGATTTCAAATAATCTAGGAATACTCGGTGAATGATCTTTTGTTTAACTGTTTGACATAAACGACACTGCATGTTTTGAAACTGAAAGGCTAACATGAGAATCCCCTCATTGGGTTCTCTAAAAACTCAATTTATAAGGTTTTTATTTCCTTAAATGTTCAGGTTGCCGATGTAACACGTTCTGACCCAAGCTGGTAACATTAATAACATCAGTCACAAAATCGTAATGATATTCATTTAAAAGTAACCGATAACAACCTATCTCCAGTAACAAAGACTTATAAAGGAAGTGTATTTCTGACAGAAGAAATTCACTTGGGTATTTTTATCTGCCACATTCTCATTCCATATACGTAGATAGACTAATGAAATTTTGTGTTACGAAAATCTGGAATTCTCTGAGTAACGATATTCAAAGTTTGCGTAACTTTAGCCAAGCCCTCAAACACTACCTGATACCTTCTTAAATCCCCCATCCTCATATAGTCCTAAGCTGGATTTAGTGAACTTAGTCTGCCTCCTATGATCGTACAAATCTTTACATTTTGTGTTTTCTAGTATTTCCATTTGGTTTTTAATCACCTGTCTTTCTCACTCTACGCCGCAGCTGCCTCATTCGAGTCGACCCAAACTTGCCAACAGGCTACGGGTCTGAAAGGGCAAATGAACCCATAACCAGATGGCTAGTTTGGGTCCATCGCTTCTTTAAGTGACATGTATATGCATTCCGGCTAATGAAATTAACTGATTTGAAATCAATTAGCAGATATCAGTGTTTAGAATGAAAGTGTAGCCCTTGAATTACCTGGTATTCATCTTTGATTAAATTGAAGGTGGGAGTGGTAGGGCGTACGGGTGCCGGCAAATCATCGCTCGTCCTAGCCCTGCTCCGAGTCCTCAAGGCTTCGCAGGGCCGGATAACAATTGACAGCGTGGACATCACTCAAGTGCCGCTGAAGAGGCTCAGGTCTGCTATCACCGTCATTCCTCAGGTAATGATCAACTAACGTCTGAGAACTCTTTAAATTTCAGCGAGATACGTTTTCGCACGCTTCAATGAATCAATTTAACAGAAGAAATGGTTTGAAAATTATGAAAAAATACCGACGAAAAATAGATTACTACATGATATGAGCCCAGAACTTGTCTTGTTTGCAGCATCAATCTCCCCGTTTATAATCAACAACATAACGTTTTTGGAACTTTAGAAACCGAAAATTCAATCTGAGATGTGTCTTCGAAGTCTCTTTTCTCCTCCTCTCAGATTTTACTCTACGGGTCATATCAGAGAGCTTTATATCTGAAAATACAATTAACCCGTCCATTGCTGAGTTGATTCGCCTGCAGAAGATACATTGCTCCCCAAACTGAATAACAAAAAAAAAAGATGCAGTGCCCCCCAAATGTTCATCCGTTCGCGGCTATCCAAAGCGAAATTGGTTACTGCAGAAGTTGGAATGTCTTCCCCAAGCTCTGTTGTGATCGGAAAGTCAAGATTTCACAAGTAGTTCAACGGGTAGACTCAGGAATAGCCTATACGAGCCATCTCGTGGTGGCGTTAAGTTTAGGGAGCATTGTACTTTATGTAAGATTGTAGTTTCCGCATCTGTAGATTATCTGCGTTCAAGCTGTCCACTTTGCAAAAGAGTTTGATTGCTTTAAATAAACAGGCGGGTCTACTTCCAGTCCAGGTTTATTCTTGAGATGGAGGGTTGAGCGATTTGGCAAAAGGTAACTCACGCAGTCAGACCATACGCACACCGTCAAAATGAATCCTTTCACGTCGCGCTGACTATCAACTCTGGTGTTTGTTTGCCTTCTCCCTTTAAACCAATAAGAAATTTAAAAAAAGACTGTTAACACACTTTGTTGTTTACTTTCTGCTGCTAAGTAAGACAACTCTTATTCTGCGTGGTATTTTGTCCTCTTCCAAAAGATTTCTAACTATAACACCTTTGTTACATTCGAGTGGGGTCTAGGTATAACTCCTTTTCGGAAAGTGATATAGAAGAACTGCTAAAATATGTGTCTTTCTGCTTCACGATGCTTGCTGCTTCAATGATTTCTCTTGTGACTAGGCGATGACCTTTTCTGATTACGGAACAGTTTTTGAAGTTGGCTGAGCGTCTGCAGTCACCGCAGGGCATGCGTAGAAGTTCTGAATTGGCTACTCGGATGTTGTTGTTTTGCTCTCTTCATCGGTCGTTCACACATCTTCCTGTTCCTCCTGTGTAAAGTTTGCCACATGCAAGGGGGAAGAAATAAACCTCTTCATCTGAACCAGGAATGTAAATGGTTTTATGTTTTTTTTTAGCAGCCTGTAGTGATTTTTGCTCTAGTGTTGACTTTTTTTACATCAACCAGAGAGCTTGTGGTGGCCCAAAAACACAACATTACTATTTGCTCGGTAACCAATATTTTTGAAGGTATGGGATACGTTGTGAATGTTGGGCATAACTAACGGCTTTTCGTTTCTGTTCCTGTCTCGTGAATAGCGAGTGTCATTTAATTTTTTTTAACCCCTTCAGTCACGAGGAATGAAAATGTGCGCCTAAAGTTACTTGCCTGATTAAATCAAGACAGGAGGTGCTTTAGATTGCTAAAAAATATTCACTCGCGAAACATTCGATCAGAACACACTTTCGCATCGTGTCCTCAATTGTGCACGTTGTGTGTTGAGTCCCTTCAAAACACAACAAAATGTTTGAAACAATTTATTTGAAAAAAATCTGTTCATAAAGTACACAGAATGCAGTCCGTTGACTAATTTAAAAACAGGACAGCCATACTCTCTACTCTTGGTAGGAGCTCCGAGAATTCTTCACTTTACTTTGTGTGAAACTCCAGGAAGCAGTTGTTTTTAACTGTGAGACACAGGAAAACGTTGCACTTACGGCAACGAATGCGACCTTTCCTCTTGCAGCCCTCGCGCCGGCACCTGTGAGCAAAGAAGGCTCTCATGTGTTAGGGCCAGTGACTCTGAACATCATAGTGCACGGTGTTGGTAGGCAAAGCTTCTGCATTATGAGGCTTCTTAGACGGTTGGGTGGTCTCCCCGAGGCTAGGACGTCCTCTCTTCTTCTAGGGCGCCTTGTTGAATGAGATGAGACATTGTGCAACGTCTTTCTGAAAAGCCAACATGTCTTTTTTTTTCTTTTTCGGGAGTCTCTTCACTTGCATCTCTGATGTATTCCCGCCAGCTGTTGGACAAGCCGAATGAGATGAAGTGGGAAAGTACACGGACACTCCACTTCCTCGTCCTGGTCCGGATTGGGTACAGGGACATGATAAAGTCCAGTTTGTCCACTCCCCCCATGAACTTGTTGTACTCCAGTACAACCTCAGGGCACTCTGTTTTATACGTCCTCTTTCTTCGCTTTTTCCAGCGCTTTACCGTCCCTTTCTCGCCAACTCCGACACGTGTTGAAGCCATGTTTACTATCCCGTTGTCTTTCCAGCGGACGATCACCACATCTCCGTCCTCTGAGATCTTGCTGTCAATAGTTCCTCTTCCTTCCTTCCGCATTTCTTTCTCGCTTTTGGGTTTGCATCCAAGTAGCCAATTGGATCGGATGGTACCGGTGCCGAGTATACCCACTGTTTTCAGCTCCTGCAGGAGCCTCACAGAAGTGAAGTAATTGTCGAAGTCAAGAGAGGTTTTGGCCTTTTGGTAGACTTTCGACTAGCCTCATGATGACTGAACAGCCCAGTCCAAGGTGGGCGTATTTTGGATCCACACTAGTCCCCTTTTCCTGATAGAACTCAAAGTCGTGTGCTACCCCGTCTGTGCTGCACCGCACGAACACCTACACTCTAAGAAAAAAGGGAGGAGAAAGGTAGCAAAAGCGACTGTTCCTCCTTGTTGCGGACAAGTTGCCCAGAGAAGGGAGGAACGGCAGTTCAGATGAAAGGAGGAGGGCGAGTTCCTCCTTGTTCAGTTGGCGCAGGGGTAGAACATCGCGCTACTGACCAAGTGGTCAACGGTTCGATCCCCAGGAAAGTGGTTTTTTTTTTGTTTTTTGTTTTTTTTTTTTTGTAAAGTTTTTTTTTTTTATTTTTGTTTACCAAAACACACATAAACAAACCCAGACCGATGAAAGGAAAATTAAAGTCCTTATTATTCTCCGAGACGTTTTCCTCCTCCAGGCAGACCGGAGAAAGTTTTCGCCCTCCCGACCCATCTTCTTTCGGTTTCGTTTTTCGAGCACATCGCGCACGTTGTTTAATAAATTAATGTTGAGTTGATAGAGCTTCAGCGGCAGCGAAGGCCGCCTGTAATTCCGTCTTCTAGTCCAAACGTGCAGAACATTTCGGTTGCATTGACGTTTTTACCACTAATTTTATCAAATGAGCTAACGAAGCCGCTAGAAACAGCGAAGTTCCGGAGCAGTGCCAGCAGTGCTACATACACTGGGTAAGACGGCCGTCTCCAATTTGCGGGACACACGCGGAACTACAGCAGCGAAACCACGAGGAACTGTGTCGACGTTTTCGACGTTATGGAAATCGCGGGAACTGCGTCCAAGGAAGGCAGGTTTTCCTGCCGGCTGCCTGGGTGCCTTCCGTGCCGAGTGCCAACCGGCGTTCAACGTGATTCTTCTGCGTGTCAGCAACATCGTCAACGTGGTTCTGTATTTCTTCGTGTCAGCGACATCGTGATGGCAGTGTTGTGGGTTGTGAACAGAAGACTGGAATTATCGCCGATGTGACCGTGTGTTCGCGTATCAGTGGTGTAACAACAAGATGAGATGACGTAAACTGTCGGGCATTGATGCCGCTGGTCGGGCCGTTATCGGAGGGGCCGGGGTGTCGCAGGATGACATTCCGCTTTACATTAAAGAGTTTAAAACCACTTGAGGGATTAGGTGCAGTCGATCGACGTGTGGATAGTCATGTTGGAACGCTGGTCTGAACGGTAAGCTCCTATCGTACAGTGGCCAATGTGACTGTCGGTCCCCGAGAGCGATTGCGCTCTGGGGAAAAGACAACACTACGAAAGTATGACGGAAAGTACGTATATTTATAATGGAAGTTTAGCATAAAAAAAAAAGACAGGCAAAATCGAAAAAAAAAACGCTATCCTTTATTTTACTGTTTAAATATACTACGGTTCCTGTAGAAACTGCCCTCTAAGTGGCGCGCTGGGATGAGCGCTAGAAGTTTTCGAGCTCGCAACGGCGCAGCTCCGTACACCTAACAGTTGTCGGAAGTCGCGGCTTTGACTGCATTCAAGTTGATCGAAAAGCGATTTCTGTGCCCGTGAAGCATCACTTCCAGCTGAGTGGATATCCGCTCTACAGAGATTAATTCAAGACGGCAATTGCAGCTTTGCGCGAACAGCACAAATAGAAAAACGAACACTACAATATAAATACTGGCTACGAAGGGCCATGCGGGAAAACAAACTCATGGCTTGGAACCACATTGGAGCGGCTCGATTTATTGGCTTTCAAATAATTATGGCATGATTGAGCGTCTTCTTTTTAATAAGAGATTCATCCCCTGAGCCATTAAGAATAGCCTCAGATGTATGACATTGCTGAAAAAAAATGAACATGTTCGGAATATTTTTTTTTTGCTTAGGGAGTCACCGAAAAATTCCGCACGTTCAAAACTACCACTATAAAAGACGGAAACGCAGGGCTTGCCAGTAGTGATCGGGGTAGTGTGCTGTTGTATTGATGTTTGTATGCGATGCCCGTGTATGCGTTCAATATATGTTGACCTGATGTTTGTAGTGTGCGCAACGTGTCTACGTGTGTTAGAGATTCCGAAGAGCAAACGCAATTGTGGCGTAAGAAAATAAAAATATTTTTTTGTAAAACATGAATTGGGCGGTACCTAGCGCCACCTAGCCTAGCTACGTGCGATTACTCTGCTTGACCCTGCCATCTGGTGGCAAGCGATTTAACATCCTTTTACGCTACGCGGCTACGCCATAATTTCGTGTTACCGTGCTGAGATAAGCCAAGAGGTTGCTTCGGATTTGCTTTTTTTTTTGAGAGCGGCTTTTGGTTTTGCGGGCGAATGATTTTCACTCCTCCGTGATGTGCGGTTGACGCTACGGTTGACGAAGGAATTGTGGCTCGAGGAATAGCAAAGGTAGGACATAAAGTGCGCGAACTGAGTGCCGGTTGTCTCCGTTGAACATCGCAGTGCTGACGATGAGAAGACTGAGTGACTGCATGCTTTCGAAACGTAAGTTTCTTTACCTGCAGGGGTAAAGAAACTTCGGAAATAAATACAGTTCGCGGAAAGCTCGTGTTACGTTTTTATTTCCTGCTCCTCTCGCTTCGTGCAATAGACTTAGTGTTCTCGTTAAGCCTTACCGAGCTCGATTTGCTCGATTCGTGGCCGCCATAATGAGATGCAGTCGACGGAGGAACTTTTCCTCCCCTGCTTAAGGGACGAAAGTTTCTCCCTTTCTGAAGGAACATATGTCTCAAGAGCGTTCCTCCCTTTAGGGAGGACTATACTGACCCTTTTTTCTAAGAGTGTATACACCCCCTCGGGATTCGGTTTGTTGCGAACAAACTGTTTTGCCGCGACCCTCCCAGTGAAAGCAATCATTTGCTCATCTATACTGTTTTATTTCGCTGGCTCTACCTCAAGACAGCGAAGGCGAACTGCCTCGAGGATCGGGCGGACTTTCCAGAATTTGTCAAGATTTTTCGGGTCAGTCTTGCTGTTTGAGTCTGTAATGTGAAGTTCTAACCTGATCTTAAAAAAGCGATTCACTGCCATGGAGTCCGCCACCATTGGAATCCTCAATCCAGCCTGCCAGTACATCCTAGTTCGAGTATACTTCAGGACTCCCATTGCCATGAAGACCCTTACTTCTTGTGGCGTTGTTCCCAGCTCTTTTCCGCTTGTTTGGAGGGAGTAGATATTAGTGAGTTCTGCCAGCTCCTCAAACACACTCTCCGAAAAGTACCTCATGAAGTACTCTGGTGGTTCTGGTGGTGTTGAACTCCCCTTCATTCGATAGGTTCAGTCCTGGGCGTCCGGAGTGAAATCTCGCACAAACCACTGACTGTGACCTTTTTTGGGGGCTGGCGGAGGCATGTCAGCCGGCGACGCTGGTATTGATGGTCCTGCCTCTGGGTTGTCAAGGGCTTCCTGAATGGTGTTACAGAAATTATATGCCATAAAAAGTACTGCGACGTGATAAACTGTCTGCTTAGTAGCTACTTACCTCAGGGCTCAGTTGCAGGCTCCAGGTCTCCAAACTCGTCGTCGGAGAGGCCGCCATCGGAGATGTTGCCGTCGGCGATCCTTTCAAGTAACTCTTGCACTCATTGTTCTTCAATTTTCCGTCGTTCTCGAGCATGTACACGAAGACCTGGTTGTTAAAATAAAACCCAATAGATTGTAAAAGCGTGCTACACTGAAATTCAAATCCGCGCCAACAAATCTCAGTTCTAAGAATTGGGGCACAACGTCCATGAGTGAGGACGCCGAAACACGCTAAATGATAGCTTTGAATTACATTCACATAAAATGCTGTAACCTACTTCAAAGTCATCCACACATTTTCCTAAACGTATCGGAAGCTTAAATTTATTACTCAGACTGACATTCGAGAAGTAATTCACCCAGATGTGAAGCCACTTATCCGTGACACCATAGCAAGCGGAGCAGTCCATTTTTTCCCGCAAAATCTTCACGGTTCGCTTTGCCACTGATAGATGGCGCCAGCCGTTCTGTTCTCCATTAGGGAGGCTGTAGTGAGGGTGGGCGCAACTCAAAACCTGGAGAGCGTTTGCAATTTAATGGCGGCGCCAGAGGGAGAGGATTCGAGAAAGGATATGCGCCAGTGTTGCCTGCACGAGAGCAGGCGCCCGCTCTGTTGCAACTCTGTTGCTCCATGCGCCTTTCCTCCTCTCGCCTCCCATTGCAAGCAACGAGCGCCTTGGCGCAGCCTCTCTCGCTTCCTTCTCGCTCCGAGAATTGCAAACGTCGAGCGGAGAAAGCAAAGTTGCCAGACAAGCAGCAACGTCCAAGATGGCGGAATTTACCATTTTTCGCGTTAAAAAAATACTTAACCTATCGCAACAAAACTGGTGGCTATGGAAAGGTAATCATTTATACCTTGTGTAAATTATTCAAGCACCTTAATGGGCTTTTATGACCCGAGTTAGGAAAGAAAACGACCCTTTGCCCCATAGACTCCCAGCAAAATTTAGCAATTAAATGGCGTCCATGTCCCGTGATCGCCGATCTAGCAGTTGCACCCACCCTCACTTGAGCCTCCCTATTCTCCATGCGTCACCAGGCGTGCACGCCGTGTCTCAAGCGAGACAAACAATGCTTCTTCGAGAGAAAAAATCTAGAAGGTTGTGTCCACGTTTTTGGGCAGCGTGCTTGAAGGGAGGCTTTTAGCGACTGAGGCTAATAGGTGTGACGGGTGAACCGCTTTCTTTATCCTGATACTTGTGCTGCAAATCTTAATTGACTGAATGTGGGCAGGGCTTAAAATATATAATTTTTGAAGCACTGATTCAGTATTACTTCCATCTTTCATGTGGCACACTGCATATAGGTCAAAATAGAAGATCTGTTAACGATCGACCAAGAAAAAAACATCTGTGTAGCCAATTCAAGACTTTTAGGCATTCACCGCCGCGACTGCCGATGCTCAGCCAACTTCAGAAACTGCTCCGTAGTCAGCAAGGATCATCACCCACTCACAATAGAAATCATCGAAGCGGCAAGTTTCGTGAAGCAGAGAGACACACCTGTTGGCAATCCTTCTATGTCAATTTCCGAGAAGTAGTTATTATCCCTAGACTCCACTCGGAACTAACAATTGCGACAGACTTTACAATCGTTTAGAAGACGACAAAATGTCGTGCAGAATAAAAGTTCCCTTACATAGCAGCAGAAAGAAAACATCGAAGTCTGATAACAATTTTAATATTTCTCTTTTCTTTTTTTTTCTTTTTTTTTTATCGATATAAGGACGAAAATAAAAATGCAAACTACAGGGTCCGATCGAGAAAAGTAAACCCGACTTTTCGGCCCGCGTTAAAAGAACTACGCATCGCAGAATGCTCAAACACCGCCAGAATGTAACCCTAGCGGTCCAAGCAAGTTGCCAAAGTATCAGCCCAATCCGATAACTTAATCAAAAGTTATAAGTGATTTTCTAAAAATTTCAATGGGAAAATGGAGCCCATTTTTGCCCGTTTTCGGTTTCTGGTGTCATAGAGCCCCATGTGTTCGAAAACTGCGTCGGCGGCCACTTCCCATTGAAATTTTCAGAAAATCACTTATAACTTTTGATAAAGTTATCGGATCGGGCTGAAACTTTAGCATCTTGTTTGGACCGCTAGGGTTACATTCTGGCGGTGTTTGAGCGTTCTGCAACGCGTAGTTGTTTAACGCGGCCCGAAAAGTAGGGTTTACTTTTCTCGATCGGACCCTGTAGAATTGAGTCACTGTGACGCGAGATGATTGACGGTGTGCGTGGGGTCTGAGTGTGTGAGATATATTTTGTGCTGTTACTTTTAGCTAAGATCTATTCTACAAGGCTTCTATATAAGAAACAACACAATGACCAGTACCGTATTTCTCGGGCTACAGTCCGCAGACTATGCATGTTTAAAAGTTAAAATTTTAGGCAGTGCGGACAATCTACGTCTGCCGACTATACAGGATTTTTGTTTTTCAAGATCGCCCATTATGACGAGACGTGACAGATTTTGTGAATGAAAGATTATGTTAATGATGATTTATGTATAATACAAGCTTTTTCGTGAGCTCAGAAAGCAGACATTTCTTAAGGTGCAACCCGTATGAGAAGATTTTCATGTCAACTAATCACGAGGTGCGGACTCTCTAAGCAAAAACTTATATTTTTGACCCCAAATTTCCCCTGAGGACTCTACGCCGTATGCAGACTACAGCCTGAAAATAGGGTGTATAAATTTTTAATTTTGCTTTTTATGTTTCAGGACCCAATCCTTGTTCGCGGAAGCCTTAGAGACAACTTGGACCCGATCGGCACCCACACGGATGAAGAACTTTGGGATGCCTTGCAAAAATCTCACTTGGACGAGTTTGTGTCCAAGCATCCGCAAAGGCTCCTTCTGGACACTGGAGATGGGGGAGCCAATCTCAGGTTAATCCTCTAGCATCATGCCTACCGAGTTTAATTTCATGTTATTTTGTAAAAGGCTAACATTGCCAAGACGATAGTATAAAATAATAATGACAACAATAACAACTAAAATACCTAGAATCAACCATACACAACCGCCTTTAGCACGATCCATCATTGGTAGGCGGAAGACAATCGAACTAGGTCCTCGTATTTTGTTTTTGTTTATTGTCGTTTTGGTAGTGCTGTTTATTTGTGATGAGATTGTTGGTACACGAATTAGAAAATTTAAGTGGTAAAGTGTAAGCTTAGAGGTTAAAACTAAGCCAAGACTGCACACCAAATGAACACCAAAACAGCTAATACCATACACGCGATAATATCAAGCCCCTTTACGTCGTCAGTCAGCAAGGTAACGCTCTCAACACACTAAGCATGTGCCGAACACAGCAGGCGCGTAGCCAGGATTTTGTTTCGGGGGAGGTCCGCCCATGACAAAATGCTGTATGAGGGGGAGGAGGGGAGAGGAGGTCCCAATGGAAGATTTCGGGGGGGCAGGGCCCATGGGCCTCCCCCCTGGCTACGTGCCTGGAACACAGATGACTACGGATACTCACCTACGCCATTAAAGCGAGCTGTACTTTTACCTAGAAGTGCACCACTGTAAACATTGAGAGACCAGATACCAAAACAGCATGCCGGTATCACCGATTCGGCTGTGAAAAAATGTCGTTTGTGAAAACGACTACAGTTGAAACGAGCGTGTTGGTTAATAGATACAAAACTTGAAAGTATAAAACAGAGAGGATGAGGACGGGAACAGGACATCTCTCTGTTTTATACTTTTAAGTTTTGTATCTGAAAACGACTAAGACGCTGATAGATTACAAAACGGAGTACCTTAGTATATTTTTTGCTCCGTTCTTCGTTCTTCGGGTGCCTGATTTGCTAACAGGGCAATCGCATTGACTGAGGAACGATAATAAGACGCTCGAAACTCGCCATACTCTCTTTCCAAAATCTCCCAGGGACTATTCGAACTGCCAGCCCAGAACTTCGCTTACGATCACTTTACTTTATTTCAGCCTAAGTTCAGATTCAGACGACGCCATACGAGTTAGTGCGACCAATCAAACAGCGTCAAAAGCGCGAGTCACTGGGCTTCTGTTTCTGTTTATGATTCGTTCAGCGGTGGCATAAAACGCACAGAAACATGACGAACGCCACGATGCCGTGCTTTTGACGATGTCCGATTGGACCCATCAGATCGTAGTGTAGACTGCGTCTGAACTAAAAGTGAAACGAAGTATGAAAGAGCACATCTAGACCAATGGCCTTCGATTCATAGGTCGTTCAATGAGAAGTACGCAATCTTCCGTGTAGATCATGTGATTCAAGGGTTGAAGGCGCGTCGGTTTTCTGAGTCGACACTTTGGCGCACCAAGCGCTTGGTGGGTGATGTTTTTGGTCTATTGTTTTCTTATCAAAATATGCATCAACGATCCTATGCAGCGTTGGGCAGCGACAACTGGCTTGTCTTGCCCGGGCCTTGATTCGAAGACCGCAAGTTCTTATTCTGGACGAAGCCACTTCGCAGATGGATGGCGACACAGACCGCCTTATCCAAGCCACACTTCGACAGAGTTTCGGAAAATGCACCGTGATGGCCATCGCACACAGAATCCATACTGTGCTCGACTACGACAAGTATGTATTGGATGCTTTCTGCCGTGTCACACGTTGAACAATATTTCACACCGGAAAAGTTGAATTGAAGACACAAAATTCCGTTCTTTTATTGACGGTTATTTACGCGGTATTAGTTCGAACGAGATACCTAGAATCGTCTTATCCGTTATTGTGTATCTATTGGAAAAGGGCCTTCGTTGGTAGCCTTTATACTCCAACACAAATCTGAAAATCGTAGCTTGACACTTAATGTGAGGTGTCGCGGAAGTTCTGAGATGGAAGCCAGTGGACATTTTGCCGCAAGAGTCCCGTCCATGACCAGGCTGTTTTAATAACTAGGCTCATTGCCGCTACATTATGCTTCGGAGAAAAAAGGATTCGCACATCCCCACCGTTCGCCATTAATTGAGACATGCAACGATGTAATGCCATATCCTCTACTCTTTGACGGCTGTACGATGCTCTAAAAATACTGTTGCGATCTGTGATAGGCTATTCCGGCCATACCATTATTGGGATCGTAATCCTCCAATAAGCAGTCATGCATTTACCATGCGTGCCAATACGAAAATATATATTGTAACCAGTTACGTAATTTGTACGATTATTCTATTTATTTTTGCGTACCTTTTTTTTTATAAAGGATCTTAGTCATGGGCGACGGGAGAGTCATGGAGTACGGATCCGTGGCTGAACTACTGTCCAACCCTGCAACGATGTTCAGCAGAATGGTCCAGAGCGCAGGAGTGGCGCCATCTCCCGACAACAGGACACGGGAACTTTATCAAACTAAACTTTAGGGGCTCACAATTTTAGCTTGAAGCGCTTTCGTGCATTCAAATATCCCATCGATAAGGCGGATAGCTTCTATTTACGTAATGGGCTTGATATTCGGTTTGGCTTGTGGGTGTACGGAGCTGGCTCAATATAAGATTGGTTATATCCTAAGGCATATTTGCGGAGCAGAGAGCTGGAAGCAATAAAGACTGCTGCACCGCTATTTTATAACCGATCAAAACAGGTTTATACAGTTTTAAACAATCTGTGGTGCAATATAGCCATTGTTTTGGAGCGCAACTCTTAGGCGCACGTTTCAGGGTATAGCGGCGGCGGCGGCGCCTTCGCCATCGGCGTAACCGCGCGCATAGCAATAGGGGATGTCACAGACTTGTACACTAATGCAATTTACCGCTAAATTTAGCGAAGAAAACGAATTTGTGTGTAAGTATGTGACGTCGCATAATGCAACACTGCGCATTCAGTTTCCCCGCTAAATTTGGCGGCAAAGCGACGTCACACACACTCAACGCCAATTAAGTTTCTTCATTAAATTTAGCTGGAAATTTAATATTTGGTGAGGTCACGTGGCGTTAATTTTCCATCTGGATTTAGCGGGAAAACTGTGGGAGGAGGGGAGGGTACAGAGGAGGAGGAGGAGAAAGTATGAAGTAGGAGGAGGGGAGAGTACTGAAGAGGAGGACGAGGGGAGGGTACGGAATAGTGGGACGGGAAGATACGAAGGAGGAGGGTACGAAGGAGGAAAAGGACACAGCAGAAGAGAAGGGTGCACAACTAGTATGTGAGGAGAGTGATCTATATTTGTATATATATATATATATTTCTTTCTAAAATTGCTTAGCACAGTATATGCTAACTCAGAATACCTCAAGAGCTGCGCTCTAATTTCGTAATCCAGAGATTTCTAAACATCTTTCACTTTTTATTTGCGCCTTAAAGCCAAATTCAAACAATGAGCCACATATCAAAAGCCGCATTTAGAGGAGAACGTGTGTGAAATGTGTTATCAGGCTTATGTATAACAACAATCGCCTTTTTTCACTATCACGAAGCATGAGGTTCCCGTTCAGTCAAACTTAAGCCATGCAAAAACAAAGATGTAAATAAATAATTACTATACTAAGTTATAGATTCGTTTAATCGTCAGAACGTTTGTGAAGTGTGTCTGAGAAAATTTCAATAGTTTCACTGTTTCAATTAACGCTCATTGCTTCTAAAATGTTGTTTAGCCCTCACCATAATTAAACAAAATATACTATAAAATGCATCATTTTTAATCATTTACAACGAAATTTTGAGTGTTTCTTAGTTGCAGAACACAGTCTTTGCATTTTGTCTCGTAATTCATACGCTTTTCCCCCTGCTATAAACTAGAAGATTAATTCATGAAATACATGAATGTTAACTGCTTGCTAACTCGAGATAGCTTGACGTTTTATGTGAGAGGAGTCAAGACCCGACTTGCTTGTTGAGTTTGAAATATCTAGTGCCTTATCTATAAATAAAAAGTCATTCGCCTCTGAAATTCGCCTCTGAAATAACGAAAATCCGGCGTCGGCGTCGGTGAGACCGAAAAATCCCCGGAATACAACGCGCGCAGCCACGTTTGGCGTCACGTATAACGTCACACGTGACGTTATCGATTGGTTCACGTATTCACGCTTGCACGGCTTGGGGCGAGCGCGGGTTTATATGAGAGGGCTTTTGTTGAGGGAATTGTTGCTCCTTGGCGTTCCGAGATATCGATCAGTCTCAACAAATCTCAACACTTTTATTTTAAACTACACACACTACACACGTTCCAAACAGACGAGCCACTTTCTCGTTCTCCGATCCGTAGCGTTCCAGCTTTCGTTCTGTCCGTCTCCACTTTCCCAGCTGTTGATCTTCGCGGCTCCATCCGGCCGCTGCGGGTACGAAGTTTACATCTCGCTGCCCGCGCGCGATCATAAATCGTCTCCGCCGAGACAAGCAGTGGTGCGAGGTTCAGCTCGCTCCTCGCGTGCATCCTCTCCGCAGAGGGAATCCGATGCCGTCCTCGCGAAAGTTCCAACACACTCCCCACCGAATGGGCGCGAGCACATTCTAGAGTTCCGTCATTTCTAAGGGGTAGATTAGTTGCACTGGCCTTCGCAGTACTGTACCGCGATGCACGCGAATCTCGCATGAACGAACCCTTGCATCGCGTCCATGAAATACCTTCTCAACCTTTCCAAGCTTCCAAAGCAGTCGTGGAAGTGGCTCTTTCAAAAGGACCAACTGGCCCACTCGGGGCGGAGGGGACTGCTTTCGGTGACTAGCATAAGCAGACCTCAGTTCTCGGAGGTATTCCGCCCCCCACGTCCCCCAAAATAAATTTAGGATCCGTTTTCGCTTTCGCCACAGACCGCGAAGTGTCTCCGGTGTCGAAGCGAGCGGCTCTCCCCCGGCCGCCGGCAGCGCCGTCAGCCGTCTACCGATTAGAAAGCTCGCAGGCGTGAGAGGGTCGCCCTCTCCCACCTCGTTGTATACAAAGGTCAATGGTCTCGAATTCACCACGGCTTCAATTTCGGTGAGAACCGTGGCCAATTCATCTGCGCCCAGGCATTTCTTTCCGATCACCTTCCTCAATGACACCTTTACTGAGCGCACGAGCCTCTCATAAAAACCTCCCCACCATGGCGCTCGTTCGACAATAAATCGCCACTCTATGCCAGCATTGGCAAAATGCTGAATCACATCAGGGTGTCGGAGTGTCTTCCACAGTTCGCTTAGTTCTTTTGAGGCCCGTTTAAATGTCAAAGCGTTATCCGAATAAATGACGCGGCATACCCCTCTCCGCGACACAAATCTGCGAAAGGCATACAGAAAGCTCTTTGTCGACATGTCTGTCACTAACTCTAAATGTACCGCTCGGGTAACCGCACATGTAAACAACAAGACGTAACATTTGCTGGTGAGGTCGTTCGCCTTAACATACAGGGGTCCCGCAAAGTCTGTGCCCACTACTTCAAACGGGTCCGCTCGCGTTGTACGATCCGCCGGCAAGGGTCCCGTTGGAGCACTTGCAGGAGTCGCGTTGAATCGCTGGCAGGTCACACACGCACGCACTACTTTCTTTACCAGCTGTCTTCCGCGGAGGATCCAGTACTTCTCTCGCAGCTGCACGAGAGTGTCCCTGGCTCCCGCGTGCAGTACCTGGCGATGGGCGTCGATAGTCAGCAACGTTGAGTATCGATGCTCCTTAGGCAGTACAATAGGGTGGCGTTCTTCTTGCGTCAGGCTCGATGACTGGAGTCGACCGCTGATCCTCAGCAATCCCTCTTCATCGATGAAAGTGCGAAAGTCACGCAAGAGCGACCCAGGTGTGGGCGACATTCTCTTTGCTGCACGATCAATATCAGAGGCAAACGCTGATTTTTGTGCTCTTGTTATCCAGTGTGTTTGCGCTACGTGGATCTCCTCGGCGGTCTGTGGTCCCACCCCCTTTTCTGACGATCTGAGGTTATCTTCCTTCTCGACCTTCTCAGCCATTCCGTTCTCGACGTAAAGCCGGACTGCCTGATCATATCTCTGCATGAGCTCAGGATTCTTGCTCAGCCTCGTTCGTTGGCTTTCGAGTCTCTTCCAAGCCATCTTTCGGTTGCAATCAAGCTTTACATTAGGTTTCCAAGGGAGGCTCACTTCGTATCTTCGATCAGATTTGGTGATGCTTCTCTCAAAGCGCTGCATGATGTCGCTATAGGAGTGATCCTGGACCTCTGCGTCCACAACTCCCATACTCTCAAGCTCCCAAAATCCTCTCAGGACAGCCGTGTTCTCCTGGTCGCTCACGGCAGCTCTGAGGACAATCACTTGGGAACAGTTGACAACAGCTGCAGTCGCCTGGGAACGTCCATGTACTGCCCAACCAAAGGCGGTCTCCACTGCCGTCAGGTTCTCGCTCAATCGACGGACTCTTCCCGTAACGCATCCCCAGTAGTGCTCCGATCCTAAGAGGATTCCTACTCCGTTGCACTCGAGTCCGTTCAGGTCGTCACCAACCGTTAGTCCGAGCTCCTCCATATTCACCAGGATGTCTTCATCCGGGCCTGGAAGTTCTTGTTCGCAGATAGAACGCGTCTCGAGGGCGTCTATCTCGTATGTCTGGCCGGTTAGACGATTACTCAAAATTACTTGAACTCTACGGTACGTTTGTTCGCTAGTCTTGCCACCGAACACTCCGACGGTAAGAACCTCCGTTCCGAGAAGCTTGCAACCAAGACCCCTCGACAGCTCCTCTATAATGAAGGAGCGCTGACTACCGCTGTCGAAGAGAATGCGGGCCAACTTTCTTCTGTTCTTGCTTTCCACCCACGCGGTAACGGTTTGCAGAAGGACAGCCGGTTTGTTGCCCTTCTCGCTCACATGCAGGTTGAGAGGCGTCTTGTCTTTCTTCCGCGTTTCATCCGATCCGCTGGCAGCTCGTCCCGGAAAGTAATCAGGATCACACATAGTGGATACATGCCTTCCTCCACACCTTTCACAACGGAGCGTGCCGCGACACATTCTTGCCGTGTGGTTCGGCTTTGTGCACCGGAAGCACCTGCGATCGGCTTGCAGCCTGCGCTTCTTTTCCTTGAGTTCGATCTTCGCGTTACAGTCTGGTGTGCTGTGCGCCTTTGATTTGCAAAGAAAGCATTCCATGCTGTCCATCCTGCCATGCAAGGCCGTAGCGGTAGCGTTCCGAGTCTTGGCGTTGTTTAGGCGCCTCTTCGGGTGTTCATGCATGGGGAAACAATGTGCAGGCTTACCGCCGGCGTCTTCGGGTTGTTCCTTGGATGTTTTCTCCCGGCTCTCCACCTCGATCTTGAGAAAGTTCAGCAGCGCGCGCACCTCCTTAACGGGTCCTTGTTCCGTTGCTGAGTCGGAGCCGATGTCAGTTGCTGATGTTCCCCCGGCGGTGGCGTTTTCGGCGTTCCCCGAAGACATCTTGCGGTTGAACTCGAGCCTCATGTCATCCGGAAGCGCACGAAGCAGAACC